CCTGCGTACATAATCTCGTTCCACCACATGTACCACATGAGATGCGAATGACAAATAAATCTCTCTGACTTTGATATCCATCCATCCATCCCTGCATACGTACAAGAAGAACATGCAAACTCCACATAGAAAGACCCCAGGCCAGGAGGCGAACCAGTGACCCTCTCTCTGTGCGGCGACAGCTCCAACCGCTGCACGACCATGCCACCCTGAGATAACCTATCCTCCTAAATGTACTTAATGAAAAAGGTGAACATTTTACCATTTTATTCATGCTCAGAACAAGCACCCAAACAAGATTGTGTAATCAAATGTGGCACTTTTTCCTGTTAGCAGATATCCAGTACGTGTTGAGCCGTTTATTCAGGTTTAAAAGTGGATATTTAAAACTAACTGTGAATTTGTAAGCAGAAATAGATGACGGATAAGAAAAACAGCTTACTGTTGTGTGTTATTCTGTAGCAGCCTGTTTCCAGTCACATGTCGGCAGTGGTGGTCGAAGGACGGCCTTATCTCAGTCTCAGATGGACTGGTTGCTGCACGTTTAGAGCCAAATCATTGTTTTAACAAAAGCTTGCGGAAAAAAAACATTTGAATAAGTCTTTTGTTTGGTTTGAAAGAATCCTAAAGAGAGCCATGTTGTCAGAAAGCTTTCAGTGGAAATTTTGAGTCACAACAGGAAGCTGAGGAAACACATAGACAAAGTCAACACTAAAGAGAACACCTAAATATTTTTTCTTGATTTATTTGTATACCTTCCAAGCTCAGAATCACTTTGTTGACACGGTTTGAATCAACAGATACACAAATATACAGATAAAAACATCACCGCCTGCCTTTCATTAATTGGTGGCAGGCGACGAACACAATTAGGACCACTCCTAACGCTGTATTTAAATATTTCACATTTATTTAAACAGTATTTTTAGAGAAACCTCTCAGTCTTTTAGAGATTTCAAACCTCCCCATCTTCGCTCCATTAGTACTCATTCTGCCACAGCTCTGTTGTCTTTAAAATCAGAGAGGGACCAAAGAAAAAGTTGGTGAACGCATCATTTTGTACAAAGTGAAAGAAGGAAGTGAAAAGATCTGCAGACAAACAGAACTCACGAAGGAAGGAGACGTTCAGAAACAACTTCATTTCACAGCTCGCTGATAAGAAGTGGGGAAAATCATACTCTGCGTGACGGAACTGGGAAGTAAAAACAGAACAAGATGACAAAATATGCAAAAAAAGGTAATGTTTTTGGATTTTAAGTCCATGTTGAATGTGTTGTTGACTAAAGATTGTGAGTGCTCAGCTGCACCGTGGTTTGTTCCTTTAATTATTGATGAAGAATCGCTTTAAGTGCTGCCGTCACATTTTCCATCTTTTTAAAGTGGCGTGTTACAGTTGTGTCTGCTTTGTGTTGGCAGGAAATGTTTGGGCATCCTGTGTGCGCGCTCAAGTGTTTAAGGCCGTTCTAACAGACAGCAGGGCCTGCCTCGTACGGACCATTTTCCACATGAAATATGAATTTATTTTAGTCGGTTGTTGTGAAGGGTGTGGCGGACAGGAACGAGGCAGGATGTGTAGAGGGGTCAGCAACATCTGAGAAGATGATGTTCTCTGAACGAGAACTCCTCTGTCGAGCTGATTCCCTGCAGAAATTCATTTAAAGGTGTTATTTATGGGAACGTTTGCGTTCTCTGTTCCCTGACAGTGATGGATCTTCAGCTCCTGGTGGCGTCATTGTGGTCAGCTTAAGTTTCTCTCTTGTCTGAGGTGTTTCCATGGTGGCGGGCGAGGTCTGTAAGGAGCTCACACCGTCGCCGGGGAGCCATTTTGTGGGTTGCTGAGCATGTCACGCTGAAGAATCGTTTTGTCTTGCAGAACTCTTACTGTTCTCTCACATACGTGTGCACACATATTAAAAAAAAGCGCATTACGGGCTGTACTGACATGCGTAAACATACGTATATATGTTTCACAGCTTGCTGTATTTGTTGATATATTTCCTTCTATTTGATGGAAAGGGTGAATTCAGACAGGAAGTGTGGAAAGACAAAATAACTTGTGCAATGGTTTCCTTGAAGACAAAATGTGGCCGTACGTGTGGTCGCCACACTAATAGACTTGACAGGTGTTCTGAACCATCGACAGCTACCCGCCATCGCAGAAATCCACTTTTAGCTCTGTACCTGTTCATTCCAAGACTACACTATCAGCTTCACATGCACATTTTATTTTTGGATTTAAACTTAAAAACATTAACGAGCTGACTGTCCTGGATTTTTCTTCTCAGGGGAGCCCAGGAAGTTTGACCCAAATTTTAAAGGACCAATCCAGAACAGGTACAAGCCTCCATTTTTGTTTCTAATCTTTTATTTTTCCTGTCATTGAAGACGACACTAATCATATTTTGTCTCTCCTCTCAGAGGTTGCACAGATATCTTCTGCTGCATTCTCTTCATTATCTTCTTGTTGGGGTATTTTGCTGTTGGCATCCTCGGTAAGACGCCAATGTGAATTTATTTGTCGATTTTGTTCATTTAAAATGTAATCATGATTAGGGATGTGCAATATGGCATAAAATTTATGTCACGATATGTATTGTGATGGGTGGTGGTAACGGTATACATCACAATGTTTTTGGTATAAAACTTGCAATAGGAACAAAAAAAAGCATAGGGTGTCCTTTTGCCATCATTTATTTTGAAAACCGCTATACCACAAAATAATCTCAATTTAAAAAATTCCACTACTAGGTTCATAGTTTTTAAACAATTAACAAATCAAGTATTAGGCTTCTTTCTTGTAGTGCAAAAGATCTCAAATGTAGTTTTAGCCCTATGTTTTAAACAATAGAATGAACAGCAACTGAGCAGCATTTACACTGAAAACACTTAACCCTCCAGTGGGCGACTCCTGCTTTAAGTAGAGCTGACACAAAATGGCGACCAGTTTCCTCTGTGGCTTTGACCAGAGGATCTTGCAGTAAAATCACACAACACATCGTTCTTTTCACAGATCAGAGAGAAGGTTTAACCCCTTTTTTTTTTTTTTTAGCTCAAATGCACTCTCTAAAGCTGACCAACGAACTTTAGACAAAAAATAAATAAATCCGACGGAATACAGCATTTTGCGCATGCGTCCGAATACAAGTACGGCAAGCCGGCCGTAGTTAGCTTGTAGCTTTGCGATTAAATCTGACAACTCTGATTTTACATCAGACACAGCATTACTGCGGTTAGCCGGTAGAATACAGATCTCTATCATAGGCTAAAAGTCTATCGTTTGTACTGTGTACCGTATATATCGCACAATCTGAATCATGATACAAAAGACAAGTCGATACACACTTTGATGTTATGTATGAGTATAGAAAAGTACATACCAGCTTTAATAGATCTTAACATTACCATATTTTTCTGACTATAAGGCGCACTGCATTATAAGGTGCAATATCAATGAACATGTCTGTTTTCATACATAAGGCACATTAAGCAAAACAGAACAGTTAAAACTTTAATCAACTCATTCACAATAACCACAGGTTTGAGGTCAGTAAGCACAACCAGAATTAATACATAAGGTGCACCTGATTATAAGGATCACTGTCGATTTTTGAGAAAATTAAAGGATTTTAAGTGCACCTTATAGTCTGAAAAATACGGTAGATAAATAAACCTTGAATGAAGAAAATTCAATGCTTTACTTTATGTTAATAAAAACATTTATGCCCCAGACCACTAAATTACCAAACAGTTGATCAATTTCAACCCATAGCTATCTTTTTGATTTTCTTGAAAGCATCAAGGGTCGACTTAGTTTTGTTTTGCTGTTCATCTGAGGTTGTCTGCCTACATTTTAAGAATGGTAAAAAAAAAAAAAGAAGTTTTTTATGTTCTTATATGTTAAACCTTTTGAGGTCAACAATTCTGAACAATACAGTATTTTTTAATTGTTGTCTCTGCAGCCTGGTCTCAGGGTGACCCCAAAAAGGTGATTTATCCCACAGACAGCAGAGGACAGTTCTGTGGACAGTCAGGGACACCACTGGAGTAAGTCACCTGCAAATGGAAATCCATGAGGATGATCTTGTGTACATTCTATACGTTGGAGTGTTTTATAAAAATAAGTAAATCACATGTATTTGCACGATTTTCTCTGTCACACCACAGGAAGAAACCTCTTCTTTTCTACTTCAACATCCTGAAATGTGCCAGTCCTCTGGTGCTGCTGGAGTTCCAGTGTCCCACCACACAGGTCAGTCCGATCATATGGATAAATCTGACCACTGTAGCTTTTAAAGGGTGATGATGCACAAGTATTCAAGCACGCTCATTACTTTTCTGTTCAAAGGTTTGGTTTTGTATCCCGTCAAACAGCTTTGAAATAAAACTAATAAATGATACATGGAAACATGCGTCTCAATCACAGAAATCTGTGGGAAAAAAAAACGAGTGTTATCAATGATAGTTTTGGCGAAACGGATTAAAAACGCCGTCTTTGGAGCTCATAGCTCACAGTAGAATCCACTCAAAGTTTAAACAGATCACTGAAAGTTGGACTTTACACTTCTGAGCTGACATTTTAGTATTTTTTAATCACGGTTTAAGCTTTCTGGATTTTACAGATTGATGTTGTCACAGTAGCTTTTGAGCTGTCTAAAAGTTTCTAATTTAAGTCCCGCAATTAATTTCATGAAAACGTAGGCATTTTTGTCCACTCTCACCCAGAGAAGCAATCTCTCACTGCTGTAAGACTGACGGTTTTCTCTCAAACTGCAGAGAGTTCACAGCCAAGCATCCACAGCTTCAGATGGATTTTAGCTTCAAACATTCTCTTCAAAACTGAAAGTACCAAAGTTCATGCTCAATAATCCAGGTATAAAATACAACAATGTTCAGTCAGGTCATCTGGGTGGTTTCTTTTTTTTTTTTTTTTTTTGCTGAGACGTTTCGTCCTTCATCCAAAGGACTTTCTCCATCCGAGAAGCCACCAAACAAAACTGTTTCTCACAAAAAGCATATCCATAGTGGAAAAAAACAGATTGCTGTGCAGTGTTGCCAGATCTCACGATTGAAACAAACAACCAGCTCTATGAAAACGAGCACAACTGGCAACCCTCCACATTGTGTAAAACAGAGGCCGTTTTTAAACAGTATAAACATACATTTATTACGGCATTACACATAAACAACAGCAAAATTATGCTAAACACTTTGAATAACATACTTTTAATCTCTGATTAAAAAATACATTTTGCTTATGTAATTTTTTTCTACATATTTTAAAAAACAAAACATCCTCACATATACATGTGAGTGGAGCCCCCTAGTGGTCGGCCACAGTATGAGTGTTTGGGGTGTGCGCCCACAAACGTATTTGTATGTGTGTCCGCCTGTCGCCTCACGAACTTGGGCGGGAGCGATAAACAGGAAATGGGGGCGTGGAAGGGACAAACTACCTATTACCACTCGTCTTTTACTTTATTGTGCGGAGCTGGGAGATAATCAACTAGTTTCACTCTGAAAGAAAATCAAGCCCAAATAAGCGACTTCACGCTCAAAGCAAGCCCAAAAAATGCAATCTACGATTCACAAGATTTACAAGTGACTTTAGACAAAAACTCACAAGATTTACAAGTGACTTTAGACAAAAACAAGCCCAAAATCGCTTATTATAAGCGGACTTGGCAACTATGATGGCCTCTGGGGCCCGCCCTCTCCCTCGTCAGCTCCCCCAAGACAGCCATGTCAAAGTGGTATGAACAACTTTATATAACACTATTATTTTTTGGTGTTATTTTGTGGTATTTTTGGTGTTTTGAACCACTTTGGCATGACTGTCTCAGAGGAGTTGACGAGGGAGAGGGCGGGCCCTGGAGGAGAGGGCGGGCCCCAGAGGCCATCTTAGCATCAGCAGTTCGTTGTTTTTTCCCACTATGGAGTATGCTGTTTGTGGGAATCAGTTTTGTTTGGTAACTTCTCGGATTGAGGAAGTCCTTTTAATGAAGGATGAAACGTCTCGGAAAAAAAAAAAGAAACCGTCCAGATGTCCTGACTGAACATTGTTGGAAAACTTAAAGTAGTGTTAGGGTCGTTTTAACTTGTCATATAAACATCAAAACTCACATTTGTGACCATCGTCTTCTGTCGCTTACAGTTTGAGAATTTGTAAGCTCTGGTTTGCAGTTTTTGCACAGCAACTGGTCGTTTAAGGTTTTCATTAAAGGGAGTGACAGATGCTGGTGTGTGGTTACCACGGTGATCATAATGAGCCACTGGCAGCAGCTTTAAAACTTTATTTCATCCTGTTAATACAGTATAGTTACTACATCATAATGTTGGTGTTTTTCTCAGCTTGATTACTGTAAAGGTGTTGGAATTTTTGCACGCGTTAAATATTTTAGTTTTCTTGCTCCAGCTATCTTCCAGTGTTTCATGACTGTTTTCTGTGTCCAGATATGTGTGGAGAAGTGTCCCGACAGGTACCTCACTTTGATTAAAGCCAAGTTAGGGACAGCTGAAGACCAGGCATACTACTCAAGATACTGCAAGGAGGGGGTGGACTTCAGCAAAGTACTATATTTTTAAATCATGCCTTCTTTCTTTTTGCATTCTTCACAAGCTGAATTTTTACAATTAAATGCATATTATGACAGAAACGCTAACTAAATGCTGCTTTCACCTGATTCAGAGTGCTCCAGACATCCTGAAGGATGGCCTGTGTCCTGCCATGTTGTTTCCCAGCAAAGCTTGTGAGTGGAAAGACTTTTGGCTTCGATTTTTACTTCACGTCTGCGGCTCTTTCAGTAAACGTCTTTCCTCCACAGTCACGCGCCGCTGCCTCCCTGCCCTGGAGAAGATTAAAGGTGGGGTGGTCGTGGTGGGCAACGAGACCACCTTTGTTGACGGCAACAATAGAGTCAACGCCTCCGATCTGCTGGAAGCATCAAAGTCAGTTCTTGTCACTGAAACACTCATAGTCGCTCAAAACACAAGACTCGACCTGGGATTATTGCAAAATCTTTCAAAAATTACACATAACATTGTTTAAAATGATGGAGTTGGCCTCATCGGTCTCTTCTCGTCACTCTTAGTGTTTTCAAACTACTGTAGTTGAAGGCTCTCGAATCACATGAAAGAACCTGAAAAAACAACCTTAGTCTTAAGTAGTGGATTTCTATACAAACCTACATTATTTACAGATGAAGAATTGAGTTCTGAATGAACAATTCTGGATTATTAATCTGTGAATCATTTAATCAGCTTTATTAACAGAATGAATTGAGTTTGAACTGAAGTTATCTAAAGTTCTTTAGATGATTTTAACATTGGAACAGTTGGTGGATTTACACAGTAGTTATGACTAGAAGTCATTAATTTTTGGATATTTGTTTCTAACTAGAGATAAGTCATTTTCTGTGAAAATGCAATGTGGATGATTTTTGCTGAAAGATGCTGAAGAAGCTGAAACCACGCTGAAAAGATTTCATCACTAAACTGTTGATGTGAGCTGAATTACAGCTCATTACAGCTGCTAACAGCTGGCATTTGATGAAAGCGTTCAATTTTTCATTCATTCAACCTTTATTTAGACAGGTTAGTCACATTGAGCCTCGGGACTCTTTTACAAGAGAGACCTGATTTCAACAAAAGTGATGACAAATGTGTAGAAAAAGCTGAAAAGAGCAGAAATGAGCAGAATAAACTGAAATAAGCAGAGAAAGGCTGAATAGATTACAAAAAAAAATTCATTAGTTAGCAAAAAAGAAACTGAAATGATGAGAAAAAAGTTTATATTACCAAAAATGTAGCTGAAAAGCTAAAAAGAAAAACAGCTGAAATGTGCAGCAAGAGGCTGGAAGGAGCAGAAAATGTTTACCTTTTTCAAAAGAATCATCTAATGTAGAAATGAGCTTAAAAAAAATAGCAGAAAAATACCTAAAATGTAGCTAAAAAACATAAAATGTAAAATTTTATAGAAAGAAGCCAAAAAGAGTTGAAAAGAGCCGAAAAAGCTAAAATCAGCAGAAGAAAGCTTAAAAATAACAGCCAAAAAAGAGCTGAAATCAGCAGTAAAAGGTTTTACCGGTAAATAGAGCAAAGCTAAATATTTCTAAAAGTAAAACTTGCACAAATAGGAAGATTAAAAGGCCGTAACAGAAATGTTCTGAATGAGCTGAACGTTTTGATATATGAATTGCTGAACCAGCACTAAAATTGCAGAACGGGTCACAGGCAGAAAAACAACAACCTGACCAGCAGAGCCACAGAACGGATAAAACAACCACTGTGGCACCTTTTTAGCTATTAGACCAGCATTTTAATCCTTAATTTGTTTTTGCTGTATCTTTCTTTGCCTCTTCGGAAAGAAAAGTTACGAACGAGCAGTAAATTTAGCTCTTAACCATGAAATAACACCATGTAGTGATTGGTTAAGACCTTTTTATCACACCGTTCCCGTTTCATTGTCTACTTCACCATAAAAGCTCTATAATTTTGCTCACAGTTGTTTGTTATATAAATATTTAAACTGGTCTCGGTAATACAGAAATCAAATTCAGGACCAAGTATTTTTCTGTGACCCTTCTTGGCTTTACCTTTAAAAATAGAGGCCAGCGTTAATCTTTTTAGTACAGTTAGTGTAAAATAACACCAGAGCCTTGTGAGATATCGACAACTAAACTTTAATAATAATTTGCTGAGTCTTAAAAACGCTACAGTTAATGACAGAAGGCGCAGCTCTCACTGAAACATAAAACAATACGATGTGTTCTTATGGCTTTCGTTGAGGCTCTAGAGCCTCTTATTTTATAACAACATATTTTTTTAGATAAACTTGGTTACTGTGCTTACTTTGACACCCAAAGGCTGCTATAGATGAATATAATCACATTTTACGCCTTAGTTTTTGCAGACATAATAATCTACATCACCATCATTTTCACTTCATTTAAAGCACATGTCATTTCTTAAAGCCTCTGTTAGTTGTGCTCTATTTGTGTTCACCCCAAAGGGGTTTTAAGGCGGTATTTTCTATTGGAATGAATAATTCAGCCTGCCTGTTATTTATCAGGATGATGGATAGATCTTCCTGTTGTTTTAATCTTGTGAAAGAAAGTCAGTCGGCTGTACCGTCAACCTGTATTTGTCGTTTAACGTGTTTAACGTGAACACTTTAAATTTATAGTGAGTGACCTAAACACAGCAGAGACTTGAACAACATAAAAAAATGTTAGTTACTGAATATTTTCTTGTTTTATTACCATCCGAAAACAAGCTGATTAAACAAATACGTGGTCGTTTTAAGTCAATGAGTAAGATCTGCTGGTGCTGCTAGGGATTAAACATTAACTGTTCACTGAAATTGGATTAAATTCAACTCAGAATTTATTTTTACTAAAATACTATTTTTGTAAAAAGTGACCCAGTTATTGTGTTTATAGTTGAACACTAGACAAAAAGCTAAAAGGTAGTTAAAGAAAAAAAAAACCTTTAACAATAAATAATTACCGTAATTTTCGGCCTATAAGGCACACTTAAAATCCTTTAATGTTCTCAAAAATCGACATTGAGCCTTATAGTCAGGTGTATTACGCATTAATTCTGGTTGTGTTTACTGACCTCGAACCAATTTTATGTGGTTATTGTGAATGAGTTGAATAAAGTTTGACTTATCTGACTGTTTTTTTTTCGTTTAACGTGCCTTATAATCCGGTGCGCCTTATAGTCCGAAAAATACGGTATAATAACCGTGTGCTTTGTTATTGGTGTACGTTTCATTTTATATATTTTCTGTCTACAGGTTCAGGCCTACAGAGTTACAGAGACAGCTGTAGACCCTAATGCTTATTTTCATCTTGTTTTTTTCTTGTTTTCAGGAAATCAAACGTCGCTTTAGAAGCGCGTCAGGTGGCCATGAGAATCTTTGAGGACTACACTCAGTCCTGGCACTGGATCTTAATGTGAGTCGACCGTCAACTGCTGTACTTCATATAAAGTCTGTTGGACATAGAACAGAATAATTTGTCTCGTTTGTCCACCCTCTGCAGGGGTCTGGTGATCGCCATGGTGGTCAGCTTGATCTTCATCGTCCTGCTGCGATACTTGGCGGGCATCATGGTCTGGATCATGGTCGTTCTGGTTATTCTCGTCATTGGATACGGTAAACCACCGGTCTTTCAATATATGGACACTGTTGTTAAAGATTAGCCTTAATATTTTAACTAAGGTGCACGATTGTTTTCAGGGATTTTCCACTGCTACATGGAGTACGCCGCGCTGAAAGGAGAGCCCGGCGCCGACGTCACCATCCGTGATCTGGGCCTACAGACGGACTTCTCTGTGTACCTGCAGATCAGACAGACCTGGCTGGCCTTCAGTAAGCACAATCGCAAACTCACCGTCACATTTAAACATGCTTTTGCATCAAAGCTCTTATAATTTTACTCATTTGCAGTGATTATCCTGGCTATCGTGGAGTTCATCATCATCCTGCTGCTCATCTTCCTCAGGAAAAGAATCCTGATTGCCATCGCTCTCATCAAAGAGGCCAGCAGGTCGGCACGAACTGGTCATTTATTCCAGACGTTTAAATATAAAGAGTTTGTTGTAAACCAGGTTTACTGCTAACTCTTTGGCTTCATGTACTGGTTTAAAGGCACAATTCTCTTCAACATGGTGGAGGAACTGTTGCCATTAAAAGAAGATGCCTGACGAGTCAAGGCCTTATAGCTGACATTTATCAGGGTTTAAATGACTGGACGGTTTAGATCTTTGTAGTGTGGTTGTGTTGAAAGGTAATGAACAATTAATATCTTACCTGTTGTTGATAGCTCTTTGAGTTTAATTGACATGACGCAAACAATACGATCGCTCTGCCCACGCGGTAACCCATGGTGAGCTAACCTTCTACAAACAATATAGCCTTAATGGTGGAGGTAGTGAAGCTCACAGCATTACCCGAGACATTTAGTGAGGCGTTTCTGCCTTGTCAATGAACATTAAGGCGAAGACATGCAAAAACAAATTCAACAATACTAGTAACTTCAAATAGTTACTCCAGTGCATGTTTTGATGCTGCAGAGAGACACAGGACAATAATTTACAGTGAAATTCAGTACGTAAGAGTGTAAAGTTGACATCACACAACCTATTAAATGCTTTGTACAAAATCGGTTTAGTGTTAACTGATTATAGCAAACAAAGATTAAACTTGTGCAACCAGAAGTTGCAACATATATCTACATGCAAAATACACAAAACGAAGCACAACTAGTTTTAATCTAAGCATTAAGCATACAATGTAATTATGACCAAAAATGGAGGATTTACCTGCAGTTACTTTCATACAGATGAACATGTGCCACTTCCTGTTTATTACTGTCGTATTCAGCTGCTCATGGGGTCGGCTGTTGGCCTTTATCCATCTTTTACATTTTTACAGACTCCGTTTAGGTTTTGGAAATGGAATAAACTGTGTTCCACCCTCTACACTCTGGATAATGCACATTTGAATCGTACATTCCCCACTTACAGCGTTGAACCATTTTTTCTTGATTTTTCATGAACTCCCTCTGACCGCTAAGCGTTCAAAATGCAAACCCCCGACAACAGATATTGAGTTAAAGTCTGGTGAGTTAGTAGCCGAGAGTCATCCCCAGCACACACTCTGAGGGCCATCACGTCTCGTGAGATCACTTGAGGTCAAAGCACGACATCGTTTACAGGATTGGACCAAAACTGCTACAACTACATACCTTTTCAATATAAGATGATTTTAGCTACAAACTCTGGCATAAAAACACGTTGGGCGATATTCATTCCTTCAATAAAGTGGTCTACAATTAATTCTGTAGTTATTACCATAAACAGCAGCAGCTTGCCGTAGCACATCTGGTAAGAATATCTCTGCTTGAGTGTCTGTAAATCAAACGTGACGATGGTGTAAAGGATGACAACGTGTAGACTGCATGAGGTGCAATGAAATGTAGACAGCAGTACTCTACTTTGGTCTCGTCTCTCACCAGAACTAGCCTTTGCCCTGGGAATCTAATCAAAACCACACTTTAAAAGGTTTGAACTACCCCTTTAACGTAGATATAAATGCGTTGCAAGTCTTTACTCATAAGTTAATGATTGGTAATTACATCTTGTTTCCACACAGCACTTTAGTTAAAGAACCTTCTTTAAAATAACGTGACGTTTCTTTCATCAGAGCGGTCGGCCATGTTATGTCGGCGCTGTTCTACCCTCTGCTGACCTTCGCCCTCCTGGCTGTGGTGATCGCTTACTGGGCCATCACTGCTGTGTATCCTTTCATCAGTCCTCCGTGGTACCCTGAACCAGTGGTTCCCAGTCCTGGTCCTCAAGAAACACTACCCTGCCTGGTTTACTTGTTTCCCTGCTCCGACACACCTGATTCAGGGATTTAATTACCTCCTCAAGTTCTGCAGAAGCCTGTTAATCACCCATTCAGTCAAACCACATGTGTTAGTGCGGGGAAACAAGTAAAACATGCAGGATGGTGTTCCTCCAGGACCACGGTTGGGAACCACTGCCCTGAATGATAGCAGACCCTCGACTGTGACCTTTTCAAAAACAAACTCCTGAGTTTGACGCCTTGACGGCTCCAAACAGGTTCCTGTCCACGTCTAACGAGCAGATCTACAAAGTGTTCAACAACTCCGACTGCCCGTTCGCTCGGGAAACCTGCGACCCCCAGGTGCGCCTGACAAGGATACGTTTACTTCAGTTGCTTTTTTTAGATAGAGAACAATCTGTACAGTAACGTGCTCCTTCTCCCTTTTCTCTGCAGACATTCAACACCTCAAACATTTCGGCTCAGTGTCCGGACGCCTTGTGCCTGTTTGCTTTTTATGGTGGCGAGACGGTCTACCACAGATACCTCATCGTGTTCCAGTTCTACAACGTCTTCCTCTTCTTCTGGTGTGCCAACTTTGTGACGGCTCTGGGCCAGGTTACTCTGTCGGGGGCGTTTGCATCTTATTACTGGGCCTTTAAAAAGCCGGATGATATCCCAGCTTTCCCCATCTTCTCTTCTCTGGGACGGGCTCTCAGGTACGATTAAACAATTTTAATCCACATCTTTTTTTTAGATTGGCATCATGTCACATCAAACATAATATTCTCTGTCAAACTGAACCAGGATGCAGGCATCACACTTGAAACGGGTGTTAAAATGTGGCAGGATTTAAAAGGGAGCAAGAAGGTTAATCTCTCCAAACTGAGCATGTGTTCGTGTCAGCAGGGGAGCGATTTAAAAACGGATCTCTAATGCTCACATTTGGCTTTTGTTTCTTCCTGGTGCGCAGATACCACACAGGCTCCCTGGCTTTTGGCTCCCTAATCCTGTCTTTGGTCCAGGTCATCCGGGTCTTTCTGGAGTACCTGGATCACAAGTTAAAAGGTAGACTATCTGAAACCACTTCCTTAAAATATATAAACACACGTACGGACACGAGCAACGATCACCCTTCACATTCTTCTTGCCTTCTCCCTTGTGTTCTTCAGGCGCTCAGAACAAGTTTGCCAAATTTCTGCTCAGCTGCATGAAGTGCTGCTTCTGGTGTCTAGAGAAATGCATCAAATTCCTGAACAGGAACGCCTACATCATGGTGAGCTGCTGAAACTGAACTCTGGTAACTGAGAGGTGCTCTTTCCAGGAGATTCAAGCGACTTCTTTTCTTCTCCAGATTGCAATTTATGGGAAAAATTTCTGCACTTCAGCCCGAGACGCCTTCTTCCTTCTCATGAGGAACATCGTTAGGTGTGTTTGCACTTGAATTATTTATCACTATTGTGTCCTTATTGCTTTAAGCTCATCACCGTGTCCTCTTCACCACAGAGTGGCTGTTTTAGATAAAGTTACTGACTTCCTGCTGTTTCTTGGGAAGCTCCTCATTGTGGGAATTGTGGGTAAGGGAAGGTATTATTTATAGATGTAAACATGGGTAGAGCGTCGTGTGGCTTTCTAGTTTAGATCGATACGTTTCCATGTTGTCTCTCTGCAGGAATTTTCTCTTTCTTCTTCTTCTCTGGGAGAATCAAAGCTGTGGAGAGTGCTGCACCATCCCTCAACTATTACTGGGTGCCCATTCTGGTAAGAGCAGCTACACAAGTATTCGTACATTTTGTTAGTTTTTCTACTTTGTTGCATTTAAATAGGTTTTTTGTAAGAAGTTAGAAGCAAAGCTTCTAAAAAAAAAAAAAAAAAACTTCTTCAAATCAATAAATAAGGGAAAAAACTTGTTTTAAACAATCCTAAAACTGGTGTGTGCATTTGAGGTGTGGGCTTGGACCGGACCATTCCAGGACATTTCACTGTTTGTCTTTAAACAAGTGGAGTGTTGCTTCAATGTTTTTAGGGTCACTCACTCGCTGGAAGGTGAAACTTTGTCTCAGTCTCAAATCTCTGAGACTCCAACCAGTGTCCCAGTCTCTGCCTGTTGATGGAAAGCATCCCCACAGCATGATGCTGCCACCACCATGCTTCACTGCAGGGATGGTGTTCTCAGCTTGATGAGGGGTGGTATATTTGCCTCAGACTTGATGTTGTCCTTGAGGGTCTGAATCAGGGGTCTGCAACTTTTGCAATAAAAAGAGCCATTTTTGCTACTTTGCTTAATAATTACGATGTGTCCGCGAAATCTGCTACAACTGTGTACTATCAACTGGTGGCCCGTGGACCACTACAAGTTTGTTGGAGATGGCTTTTCTGGCCAGTGGGGGTGATATTATAAAACAAAAAATGTCTAACTATTATTAACATTTATCTTTTGATCTTTTTACATTTTAATACAAAAGAAAAGACCGGATTCATGTAAAGAAAGAAAAAATATATAATTTTTTAACAATTTTATAAAAATTAGAAACACTGAACTCTGCAGGCTGATGTGAGTTCTTTTAATTGTTGAAGAATTAAGTATCCTACTTAAAGCATACATTTAGAGACAGTATAAAATTAGGCCAGTTTGTTGTATATCCAGTTACATTTTTAAAGAAAAATAAATACTTTCGCTTACTTTGACTTTGTTTTTTGTGTTTTATTCTTAGTGTTATCAAAGTTACTCACTATATTCCTTCTTGTTTTATATATATTTCCAAAACATTCAAGTTCAAGTATCTTTATTGTCATTCGCATCACATGTACATGAGGTGGAATGAAATTGTGTACTCAAGATCCCAGTTACATCCAAAAATTCTGGTGGTTTTGAGAGAAAGATCACGCTGTGAGACTGGAAGTCAACTTAACAACATGGCTAACAAGCTACTAGCATGATGTAGTCCACATGTCTTACGCCTTGTATTTGTACCATTCTTCACATATTTGAAAATGCTGCTGATCTCATGCTGCTGATTTGTTTCGCATTGCTGTATTCATTCAGTCATCTGCTCACACAGACTCATGTTCGTGCTGCTGTTGTTCAGTGTGTTGATTTTGTACCACTAGTGCTTAGCATATTCTTAGTTTATATCTTAGATCTTATTACTGTTTTTCTTTTACAGTTTATTCTTTTGTTGGATGTAACTGGGACCCTGTGTACACAATTTTGTTCCACCACATGTATCACATATAATGCGAATGAATATAAAGAAAACTTTACCTTGACCTTGAAAATGACAGTAAATCTGCTAAAACTAGCCATTTTCATTGTTGGCAATAATTTAAATAAAGTTCAGTTTTATTTTAGTTTTCGTCAAAGCCCGAAAGAGCTGCTGCAGAGTACCAAAGAGCCACATGTCAAGGTCAAGGTTTCTTTATTGTCATTCGCATCACATGTGGTACATGTGGTGGAACGAAATTATGTACACAGGGTCCCAGTTACATCCAACAAAAGTTTAAACTGTAAAAGAAAAACAGTTATAAGATCTAAGATATAAACTAAGAACACACTAAGCACTAGTGGTACAAAATCAATACACTGAACAACAGCAGCACGAACATGAGTGTGTGTGGGCAGATGAGCACGAATGAACACAGCAGCATGAAATAAATCAGCAGTATGAGATCAGCAGCATGGATAGTCAGCAGCACATATCAACAATCAAGTGGCATTACAGTGATTTTTTTTTTCACAGTGATTATCCACATGTGGCCCCAGAGCTGCAGGTTGCAGACCCCTGGTCTAAAACTTGGGTCTCTTCTGATGCAGCAGCTTCTTCCACGTGTTTACGGAAGAAATTTCAAACAGTCTAGCTTCATTTAGTCAGTATTTTCTCCTGCTACTCTCCCATGAAGCCCAGCTCTGTACAGCTTATCATGGTCCCATGGAGCGATCCTTCCATCTTCAGAAGAGCTGCTCAGCTCCATCAGGGTTATCTTTGTGCTCCTGGATGTTTCTCTGATTGTTGCGATCCTTATCCGGTCTGTAGGTTTTGGGTGGACGACCCTCTCTTGGCAGGTTTGCTGTGGTGGCATCATCATTTCTTGTCTTAATAATAGATTTAATGAAGCTCTGTGGTATATTTGGGGTTCTGGGGTGTGTTTTTTTTATGAACAAAGCCTGCTCTGTACTTCTCCACACCTTTGTCTCTGACCTATGTGGAGAGTTCCTTGGTCTTCATGATGTGTTTAAACATTTCAATGATTTTAAAACAAGTTTTTCTCTATTTAACATCATCAATGTGGAGAATTATTGCTTAAAAATCCAGATAAATTCCAGGTTGTAATGCAACAAAACAGAATTATTACCAAGAGGAATAAATAGTTTGCAGTGCACTGAATAAGACGTTATTCTGTATTTAGAGTTCTGCTTTTGACTTTTGGTAACTTCCTTCTCTCAGACAGTGGTGGTGGGAGCCTACCTGATTGCCCATGGCTTCTTCAGCGTGTACGCCATGTGCGTGGACACCCTGTTCCTGTGTTTCTGTGAGTCATTTTTCATTCGCTTGAACTGGATCTCCTCTTACCGTTTGCAAGAACTCACCTCTGTCTGACGCTGAGCTGCTGGTTGCCTCTGCTTCTTGCAAAAAAGTTCTGACTTTTCTTCTCTTTGTCTCATTTCTCCCTTTCATTTCACTTTACTTTTATTTTCTCATATTCCTTTGCTTTTCCCATTAACCCAATCAAAATTGAATGAAAAAAACCTTGCACACACCGGACTAAAGGTGAAGACTTGGAAAGGAATGACGGCTCATCTGAGAGGCCTTACTTCATGTCTCCCGAGCTGCACGAGATCCTCTCCAAAGCGCAGAAGGTGGAGGACCTGTGCGACGGCACCGAGCCAGTGGACGCTTTGAAGCCAGAGGGGGAGGTCAAGTTGGAGGAGGAAATGCCTCTTCAGCAGCAGCAAGATGGAGAGGTCCAGCTGAAACAGGAAGCCATGCTCAAGCAGGAGAACGAGGAGAAACAGCCACTGCAGTCCAAAACGGACGACGACGAGTCAAGAGAGGAGGAGACGGAGGAGCAGAAAGTCAGTCAGGGAGGTGAGACTGAGACGAAGGAGGAGCCAGACAAGAAAGAAGCGTCAGGAAAGCAGGAGTTGAAAACAGAGGAGGTTTCTGCTGTAGCTGGGGAGGCGGAGAAAGAGAAGACGGGGGAAAAGGAAGAAGAAAAACCGGAGTCTAAGGATGACGTTGTCTCATCTGCACCACAGGAGTAGATGTTTTTCAAGCAAATGAGGCTCGGTAAACCTCATAAAGCATTTAAAGAATGAAAGATGTGTACTTACAGCTCTGTGATTTGGACCTATTAAATGTCTAAAGCTTCAAGCTCAAAACTTCAGACGGTTTTGCAAGTGTGAGCGGGTTGACGTCCACCTGGAGAAGGTTGCTTTCAGAGGACAGGTGGTATCTCACTGTTGGAGACTAGCTGGCAACTCAGAGTTGAAGGAAAACGTGAATCTTTTGTTGCGGTTTCTGAACTCAGAGTGATTTTTGAGGCCGTTTCTGAAAATCACAGCTAGGCCTGTCACGATAACAAATTTTGCTGGGTGATTAATTGTCTCAGAAATTATTGCGATAAACGATAATATTGTTAGAAATTTGACAATAATTAGTAATTATTGTCAAATTTAAGAAGAAATGTTTAATTTGTTTTGCATGTAGTACCTTTTTTGACCACCAGATGGCAGTATAAGACTGTTTAAAGCAAAGGATGGATAGTGAGGGAGCAAGCAGCATGTCTCTTTAAAAAATGGGAGGGAGGCCCCTTGACGTGACATGGGCTGTCTCTGCTTCCTTTCTTCAGTTCTCAACATGGGGGATGCTCGGTGTGGTTTGAGCTCTTTAGCATAGCATTTTTCACACAAAGCTTTTAATGAAAAAATCAGTAAACAAGTTCTCAGCTTCTTTTTGCAGAGAAAAACAACTTTTTACATAAAATCACTGGTTTCAACTGTGAATTTTTGAGCTTCGACAAGACAGAGATTTTTTTTCCCCGAGGTCGGCCTGTTTGTTTAGCTCGTAGCTGAGCTGCTTTTAACGATCCAAAAACGCGATTTTGGACGATTAAATGGATTTTAAAGAAAAAGGGAGGGGTCAGTGAAGAGCACCAGAGTTGAGCTTTTTGTCATCCAGCGTCTTCAGTAGAAAGAGAGAGACATGAAGAAACGATAAGGCCGATAAATGAAAAATAAGGTAGATAATTTTCATTTATCATGCGATTAATAGATTTATTGTTTATCGCGACAGGCCTAATCACGGCCTATTTTTGCGTGCACGGCTTGCAAATCTGCATCTTTGGCCTTGCACGTTATTTTGATCAGTTTGCAGCTGTCTCCACATTTATGATTCAGTCTGCCAGAAATAAACTTTAGAAATAAAGACGGTCAGATTTGGACCAGTTTTTTAACAAATGTTATTTATCATCATGTGACTTGTAGAGCTAGATGTTTGCCTCGGATGTTAAGCAGCCAAAACAGATTAGAGATGCGACAAAGTTCTTTCCAACGGGTTTCACGATGACTTGGACTACTTTGAGAGGAAAGTTGTTGCGCCAATTTTTTTGAAAACGTTTAAAACCTCAGTTGAGAACCGGCGTGTAAGTCGCAGAACGCTCTGGAGACATTTGAGAAACTCCCTCTGGATTGCTGTTCACCAACTAGTCTCAGCCCAGTGAGGTACCGTCTGAAAGGTGGAAGCAGGTGGAAAGCCCGGTGCATCTTTGTAGCTTGAAAAAAAAAGAAACCCGTTCCTTTGTGTTGGTTTTCAAACAGTGTTGGATTGTTATATCGTGAAGGTCTGTAAACCATAGTGAGTGCTGAACCCGTGCCTGATTACCGTCAGTGTTTGTCGTCTTAATCTCATCACCGGATGCACTTCAGAACCACGTTAAGAACCGAGTTTACGGTCCGAACAGTCCGATCAGTGGTGAATCCTCTTTCACTGTTTACAATAATACCAGCTGACGCCAAAATGTTTCCGACACATTTGATATGCTCTATAAAGATAACTGGATCTTTGTTTCTTTTATATGGAACTTGTGTACAAAGCATCTGTTTCTTCTGTATCTTTTGGCTTCAGTCTTGTTGAGATGCTCACCAAGATGTGGCTCCGTATATTGTATTGCCGCCTACTTGCCTTGGTGTTCGACGTAAGTGGTGTGATTGTGCGGCCATGATGCAGACATCATGACCCCCCCACCACAAACCCTGACTTGTTTACAGACTCCACTTGCCTTGCTCTTTCTCTTCCCCCCCAACCTTTCTGCTGCATGACGTTAACATGGCCTTCTGGATGCTCGCAGCTTACGTCTTTAAGTGTCTGGACGCTTTTATATCTCGTTTGTCACGCTGTGGAAGACTGAAAATACTGATGACATTCCATATTTACTGAGTGTAAATATTTACTGCAAGTGATTATAGTTCTGTTATGGGTAAACATGCAACTTTAGTGCAGGGGTCTGCAACCTGCGGCTCTGGGGCCACATGTGGCTCTTTAGTCTCTCATCTGTGGCCGTTTGAAGCTTTGACCAAAACTAACGTGATATTTAATTTTGTTTATTACAGTAGTCCCTCGTTTATCGCGGGGGATCCGTACCCTGAAGCCCTGCAATAAGTGAAAAACCACGAATTAGGGATAATAGTACAAGTAGTAAGTAGAAGTTTAATTTAGTATATATATATATATATATATATATATATATATATATATATATAGGTGTTTTAAACCCTTCCCATACTCTTGCAATATTCTAAACAATGTTTCTAAACTCTAAACGCTCAAAAAGAGCACAGCATGTCACGATTTCAGCTCTCTGCCTCCGCTGCTCTCAGCCACCTGCAAGCTTCTTGGCCCCGCCCACTTCTCTGCTCTGCACAGAGAACAGCTGATCAGCTGCAGGAGGAAGCTTATCCTGCAGTATGGGCTGCACAGAGGTGCAGAAGGAAGCTTTGTCTGCAGCTGTGGGCTTCACACCGATGCAGCAGGTGCTAAATAATTTGAAATAATACGTTTTAAATAAAAGTGTCATGCCAATCGTGCGGCTCATCCACCAATCAGCCAATTGTGTGTCATGTCCAATCTTATTTTGAAAAACCGCGATAGAGCGAGTCCGCAAAAAATGAACTTCGAAGTAGCGAGGGACTACTGTATTTTTATACCCACAACTGAAAATGCTAGTTTTGCAGTTGAAAATGCAGTTTTCTATAAATTTGTGAAGGACTCTACTAATACAAGGAGAGAAGCGTGTTGATTTCGTTTAGCTACTTCATTTATCCAACCTCCAGGCTTGCAGTGAGATCTTTCTCTCCAAAAAAAATAAAATAAAATAATCAATAACTTGTTTAGCAAAATGCCCAACATTTCTGTACACTTTAATTTTTTTAGTTTTATTACTTCAAAGCGAAGTGGCAGAAATGGCTCTTTGGATCAAAAAGGTTTGCAGACCCCTGGTTTAATGTTTGGAAACAGGTGAATTTTCTCATCATTGACGGCAAAATGTAATATTTCGATGACGGTATTTGTGTTTAAAGGGCGCTTCGACAGTTTTACACGTCTGAGTTGGTTTTATTTAATTGTGAGTGTTGGCTCGTGACGCCCTTTAAAACAAACTGTAAACATTCTGGACTTTGTGTGGTTGTGATTTGTGAATATTTCAAATTAAACCTGAAGAAAATTTTGGGGCAAGAAAATTAAAAAAAAAAAAATAAAAGTTTAAATTAAATAAATGATTATTTGCAACTGAATGTCCAACAAACCTTTTTTTTCCCCACAACTTTATTCAACTTTAACCTCACAGAAAAGTACAAAGACTTTAAATAGATAAATCATTTTAAAGGTACTTGTTGCATAGTATGATGATGTCTAATGTAAACAATAAAAATTTTACCCTGAATCAAGCGGTGCAGTTTTAAGAGTAGTAGTTTTCCAGTATTCAGTCTGAAATGTGGGTACGCGGTCAACGTAAACAGATCACTCAACTGAATCTGCTGAAAGCCACGGGAAAGCTTGAGTCCGTTGATTGAACGTAGTTTTGTAGGTAAACAAATATGACAAAAAGAGAAGTTTAGAGTCGAGGAGATGTTTAGGTGGAAATATTAAAGTGAATCTGCTGCTCAACAAGAAAGACGGAGACGACTGTCAAAAATGAATATCAAAGATCAAGCAGGGATGGAGCACCATAATGATGCATTTAAACGCATAGCTTTTGCAAAATGTCTTTTAGATCAGTAAGTTTATTGTTCCAACCTAACCTGTTTTTATATTTTCTCCAGCAGTCTGAACAGAAAAGCATACAATACATCAAAATGGTCACACTTCTCCATCCTGATTGGCTCTTTCATGGGCAATATTGATCTAATTTCAGTCATTTGGCTGTTTTTGTTGGGAAACAAGCGCATTATTCCGTATTTTCCTCCATACACGTTGCACCGCGAAACTGCAACTTGTAGGCCGAAAAATACGGTAGTTAGCCAGTCACGTTTCGCTTTAATTTTTTTAGATAAGGGCACCTGAACCACTGATATGAGAAACAAACTAACACATCATAACGGCAATGAGTACCTTTAACTTAAATTCAGTTTATGGTGCACGGCGTTGGAAAAATGTTCCTCAACTTTCTCTTGTTCGTGTCACAGTGGAGGACCTGGAGCGCAACGATGGATCAACCGAGAGGCCGTATTTTATGTCTCAGAGCTTGCTCACCCTCATGAAGAAGACCAACGAAGAGCCCAAATCTGTTGACTAAGTCATGGCGTCTGTGTGTTTACTTCGTTTTTGTTACTGTTCTACGATAAATTCAGGTATAACCACCCACCACGTCTTGGGTTAAGACCAAGGTGTGAATCGCAATAATGATTCTCCCTCCTGCTGCCCTTGGGTTGAAAAAACCTCCAAGGACTTCGTTTTAAGTCTGCTACGGTTTCCAAAAGTGTCATTTTGGCGTTGAGGCCACTTTTCCTCCGCTGGTCGGAGACCGTAAACCAAATGCAGCTTCCTCTGAACTTTGTTGTCCGCCAACAAGCACAGAAACATCTGCACCTCCTGTACAACGCAATTTTCTGTATATAGTGTTTTTCCACAAAAAAATACAAATGAACGACGGCCTACAAGGTCCTAAGAAACACGTTGTTAGTGGGTGGGGTCATCTAATGCGCAATTGTCAAACTCAAGGCCCGTGAGCCAAATATGGCCCTTGTTTACATCTTGTGTGGCCCCATTTGATAATCTTAAATGTAGAATATTTATTACTTCTCGTTTTACTTAAAAACTGAGCATACTTGATATAATTCAGACTTCTCATGACAGTTGACCAACTTTGATTTTTTTTCTTTCATAATCTTTGATTTTGATGCGGAAAAAAACAAAGAACGTCAAATGAGATCGATGAAACTCTTCTGAGGAACCTGCAGACGCATTGACTGAAACTGGCCCCTTGGTTTGGAATACGTTAAAAACTTCATCCCCCTTTTGTAACTTGAGTTAGACACCCCTGAAAGGCTGAAGCCAAGCTGAGCCCATGGAAAAAGCCCATTTGACCCAAGAGCAGCAGGAGAGCAAAGGTCAACGA